CAACACGCTTCCACTACACATAAGGGACATAACTGGCCGACCCCTCACAGTGTTCAAGAGAGAACTATCAACTTCAGAGGCCCGAGACTGTTCAACACGCTTCCACTACACATAAGGGACATAACTGGCCGACCCCTCACAGTGTTCAAGAGAGAACTATCAACATCAGAGGCCCGAGACTGTTCAACACGCTTCCACTACATATAAGGGACATAACTGGCCGACCCCTCACAGTGTTCAAGAGAGAGCTATCAACATCAGAGGCCCGAGACTGTTCAACACGCTTCCACTACACATAAGGGACATAACTGGCCGACCCCTCACAGTGTTCAAGAGAGAACTATCAACATCAGAGGCCCGAGACTGTTCAACACGCTTCCACTACACATAAGGGGCATAACTGGCCGACCCCTCACAGTGTTCAAGAGAGAACTATCAACATCAGAGGCCCGAGACTGTTCAACACGCTTCCACTACACATAAGGGGCATAACTGGCCGACCCCTCACAGTGTTCAAGAGAGAACAATCAACATCAGAGGCCCGAGACTGTTCAACACGCTTCCACTACACATAAGGGACATAACTGGCCGACCCCTCAAAGTGTTCAAGAGAGAACTATCAACATCAGAGGCCCGAGACTGTTCAACACGCTTCCACTACACATAAGGGGCATAACTGGCCGACCCCTCACAGTGTTCAAGAGAGACCTATCAACATCAGAGACCCGAGACTGTTCAACACGCTTCCACTACACATAAGGGACATAACTGGCCGACCCCTCACAGTGTTCAAGAGAGAACTATCAACATCAGAGACCCGAGACTGTTAAACACGCTTCCACTACACATAAGGGGCATAACTGGCCGACCCCTCACAGTGTTCAAGAGAGAACTATCAACATCAGAGACCCGAGACTGTTCAACACGCTTCCACTACACATAAGGGGCATAACTGGCCGACCCCTCACAGTGTTCAAGAGAGAACTATCAACATCAGAGACCCGAGACTGTTCAACACGCTTCCACTACACATAAGGGACATAACTGGCCGACCCCTCACAGTGTTCAAGAGAGAACTATCAACATCAGAGGCCCGAGACTGTTCAACACGCTTCCACTACACATAAGGGACATAACTGGCCGACCCCTCACAGTGTTCAAGAGAGAACTATCAACATCAGAGGCCCGAGACTGTTCAACACGCTTCCACTACACATAAGGGACATAACTGGCCGACCCCTCACAGTGTTCAAGAGAGAACTATCAACATCAGAGGCCCGAGACTGTTCAACACGCTTCCACTACACATAAGGGACATAACTGGCCGACCCCTCACAGTGTTCAAGAGAGAACTATCAACATCAGAGGCCCGAGACTGTTCAACACGCTTCCACTACACATAAGGGACATAACTGGCCGACCCCTCACAGTGTTCAAGAGAGAACTATCAACATCAGAGGCCCGAGACTGTTCAACACGCTTCCACTACACATAAGGGGCATAACTGGCCGACCCCTCACAGTGTTCAAGAGAGAATTCGATAAGCACCTCCAAGGATACCTGATCAACCAGGCTGTGACTCATACGTCAGGCTGCGTCCAACAGCCTGGTTGACCAGTCCAGCAACCAGCATTTGTCTTGCAGTTGTGTCAGCTACAGTGTGTACCACACACCTGTCATTATAAAGTACCACACACCTGTCATTATAAAGTACCACACACCTGTCATTATAGTCCCTCACACCTGTCATTATAAAGGACCACACACCTGTCATTATAAAGTACCACACACCTGTCATTATAGAGTACCTCACACCTGTCATTATAAAGTACCACACACCTGTCATTATAAAGTACCACACACCTGTCATTATAAAGTACCACACACCTGTCATTATAAAGTACCACACACCTGTCATTATAAAGTACCACACACCTGTCATTATAATGTACCACACACCTGTCATTATAAAGTAACTCACACCTGTCATTATAAACTACCACACACCTGTCATTATAAAGTACCTCACACCTGTCATTATAAACTACCACACACCTGTCATTATAAAGTACCACACACCTGTCATTATAAACTACCACACACCTGTCATTATAAAGTACCTCACACCTGTCATTATAAAGTACCACACACCTGTCATTATAAAGTACCACACACCTGTCATTATAAACTATCACACACCTGTCATTATAAACTACCACACACCTGTCATTATACAGTACCTCACACCTGTCATTATAAACTACCACACACCTGTCATTATAGAGTACCACACACCTGTCATTATAAACTACCACACACCTGTCATTGTAAAGTACCTCACACCTGTCATTATAAACTACCACACACCAGTCATTATAAACTACCACACACCTGTCATTATAAAGTACCTCACACCTGTCATTATAAAGTACCTCACACCTGTCATTATAAAATACCACACACCTGTGAGAGTGCCATAGTGCCTGTGAGAGTACTATAGTGCCTAACTAGAGTGTCATAGTGATTAACTAGAGTGTCATAGTGCCTAACTAGAGTGCCATAGTGCCTGTGAGTGCCATAGTGCCTGTGAGAGTGCCATAGTGCCTGTGAGAGTGCCATAGTGCCTGTGAGAGTGCCATAGTGCCTGTGAGAGTGCCATAGTGCCTGTGAGAGTGCCATAGTGCCTGTGAGTGCCATAGTGCCTAACTAGAGTGCCATAGTGCTTGTGAGAGCGCCATAGTGCCTAGCTAGAGTGTCATAGTGCCTGGCTAGAGTGCCATAGTGCCTGGCTAGAGTGCCATAGTGCCTAGCTAGAGTGCCATAGTGCCTGGCTAGAGTGCCATAGTGCCTGGCTAGAGTGCCATAGTGCCTTGCTAGAGTGCCATAGTGCCTGTGAGAGTGCCATAGTGCCTGTGAGTGCCATAGTGCCTGTGAGAGTGCCATAGTGCTTGTGAGAGTGTCATAGTGCCTGTGAGTGCCATAGTGCCTGTGAGAGTGCCAGGGTGCCCACTGTCATCTCACCTAAAACCTTCCTGTTTACTCCCTTCTGTGTGGTAGGTAAAGTTACACATTCTCTTTATCTCTGGGCGTTGGCTATGTACCTCCCCCAGGGTACACTGGGGGGTACACCACACTGGGAGACACCCCCAGGGTACACTGGGGGGTACACCACACTGGGAGACACCCCCAGGGTACACTTAGGGGTACACCACACTGGGAGACACCCCCAGGGTACACTGGGGGGTACACCATACTGGGAGACACCCCCAGGGTACACTGGGGGGTACACCATACTGGGAGACACCCCCAGGGTACACTGGGAGGTACACCACACTGGGGGGTACACCATACTGGGAGACACCCCCAGGGTACACTGGGGGGTACACCATACTGGGAGACACCCCCAGGGTACACTGGGGGGTACACCACACTGGGAGACACCCCCAGGGTACACTGTAGGGTACACTATACTGGGAGACACCCACAGGGTACACTGGGAGACACCCCAGGGTACACTGGGGGGTACACCATACTGGGAGACACCCCTAGGGTACACTGGGGGGTACACCATACTGGGAGACACCCCCAGGGTACACTGGGGGGTACACCATACTGGGAGACACCCCCAGGGTACACTGGGGGGTACACCACACTGGGAGACACCCCCAGGGTACACTTGGGGGTACACCACACTGGGAGACACCCCAGGGTACACTGTAGGGTACACTATACTGGGAGACACCCACAGGGTACACTGGGAGACACCCCCAGGGTACACTTGGGGGTACACCACACTGGGAGACACCCCCAGGGTACACTGCAGGGTACACCACACTGGGAGACACCCCCAGGGTACACTTAGGGGTACACCACACTGGGAGACACCCCCAGGGTACACTTGGAGGTACACCATTCTGGGAGACACCCCCAGGGTACACTTGGAGGTACACCACACTGGGAGACACCCCCAGGGTACACTTGGAGGTACACCATTCTGGGAGACACCCCCAGGGTACACTTGGAGGTACACCACACTGGGAGACACCCCCAGGGTACATGAACCTTCTCTTCTCAGTGTTCCAGCGGCCCTGTTCCTACCCAGGCCTCGTTGCGTACCCCTCCCTGCACGCAGTCTAAGAAACGTCCTATAGATCACCAGTGTCTTAAAAATTACCATAATTCTTGAGGCATCTCTTGTTTGAAAGGAAATTATTTTCCAGCTCTCTCAGAGAGCTTTCTGACGTGTGATGTTAGTGGCCTCAGTGTAGAGCTTAAAGCCTGCCACCATGAATGAGCTGTGAGAAGGTGGGTCACAAGGCCCACATATCCACTACAACCCGGGCTGTGATGGATATGTTGGCCTGCGGGCCGCTCCAAGCAACATCCTGGTGGACCAAACTCTCACAAGTCAAGCCTGGCCTCATGCCGGGCTTGGGGGAGTAGAAGAACTCCCAGAACCCCATCAACCAGGTATATGTGGGCCTGCGGGCCGCTCCAAGCAACATCCTGGTGGACCAAACTCTCACAAGTCAAGCCTGGCCTCATGCCGGGCTTGGGGAGTAGAAGAACTCCCAGAACCCCATCAACTAGGTATCAACCAGGTATCAACTTGTTCATCTACACTAGTAATGTATATATATTCTATAAGGTATATTCTATAAGGATATAAGAGAAGGTATAAGATATATATTTAATATAATGAATATATTATAGCATGTAATCAGTATTTACAGAATATTTCATAATAGAATATTCTTCACAAATGACATTTTAATGTTAATATTGATCCTGTAGCGCAGTAGCCTGCGTAGTTGACTCGCTGCGATAGACTTCGGGTTCGATCCCCGCGGCTGGACAAGTCTTGGCAAGTTTCCTTTCCCCCTGATGCCTCTGTTCATGCCCGGGTAAATAGGTATTGTGTATATTGGTGTTTGTTAAATGACCTTTTGTATGGTGTTATGAAGGTGTATTAATGGTGTATATCTCTCTCTTGTGTATAGGCACTGAGACCGGCGGGGGCCAGGGTGCGGCAGCTGAGTCTGAGCAGAGTCCAGGTGAGTCCCTCAGGGTGAGGTGAGTCCCTCAGGGTGAGGTGAGTCCCTCAGGGTGAGGTGAGTCCCTCAGGGTGAGGTGAGTCCTCAGGGTGAGGTGAGTCCCTCAGGGTGAGGTGAGTCCCTCAGGGTGAGGTGAGTCCCTCAGGGTGAGGTGAGTCCCTCAGGGTGAGGTGAGTCCCTCAGGGTGAGGTGAGTCCCTCAGGGTGAGGTGAGTCCCTCAGGGTGAGGTGAGTCCCTCAGGGTGAGGTGAGTCCTCAGGGTGAGGTGAGTCCTTACTGTGAGTCACTGGTGACGTACTCACCGCTCACCATCCTAGCTACTGTGCTCGTTCACCTATAACTTGTTCCTCTCAAGCTGACTTAGGCAGCTCTCTGGTTATATATGGTGAGGGGGCTCGTCCCCCCTCTACCCTTTCCTTCCCCTTCCCTTCCCTTCCCTTCCCTTCCCTTCCCTTCCCTTCCCTTCCCTTCCCTTCCCTTCCCTTCCCTTCCCTTCCCTTCCCTTCCCTTCCCTTCCCTTCCCTTACCTTACCTTACCTCCCCATCCCTTCCCTTCCCTTTATCTAGCCTTCCCTTACTGACCTTCTTGTACCTCCCTTTCTTCCTCCTCTGACTCCATCCCCTTACTTTTGTCAGTAAGAGGAGGGCCCCTTATACTGGCCTCACCCTTATATGTCCTTATACTGGCCTCCTGCATGACCCGCATACCCCTCTCCCTTAACACCCCCTCCCCTTATCTCCCCTTTTCCTCCTTTTGATTTTTATTACTAAAGTTTTCCTTCTTAGTCATCTTTATATATATATATATATATATACACACACACACACACACACACACACACACACACACACACACACACTAAAAGAATAGGGGTGGTAGGAGAAGAAAATATCAAAGTGTTCAGTGAGGATCCACAAGGTCTTCTCTGAGTACTCTTTATTTTCTTCGCCGAGGCTATGGGTCCCTACACTTGCACCAGAGGTGGTACCCCTTTAGGTTATAATATATATATATATATATATATATATATATATATATATATATATATATATATATATATATATATATATATATATATATTAGTACGTGTGTGTGTGGTTGTTGTTGTATGTGTGTAATTGTCTTTTTATTTTTTTTGTCATTCGCAATAGTTGTTACTTAGTACTGTGGACTCAGGGAGGAACAGTGAAGTAATGGTGCCCAGTCGTTCCTCCCAGCCTCGTGCCCAGTCGTTCCTCCCAGCCTCGTGCCCAGTCGTTCCTCCCAGCCTCGTGCCCAGTCGTTCCTCCCAGCCTCGTGCCCAGTCGTTCCTCCCAGCCTCGTGCCCAGTCGTTCCTCCCAGCCTCGTGCCCAGAGCTATAATTCATGACACATTTGCGTATCCGCTTACGAAACCTGTACATCATGTCGCCAGTCGTAGTGGCTTTGTTTACGAGCTGGGAAGCGCTACGAGGTTACCCATAATAACCGTAGGTCCAGAACGACCTCGAGTCGTTTCCCGGCTCGTAAACTGTTTAATAAATCTAAACTAATCCGCCATGATTGACGAAAGATCTACAGGTTTCGCAAGTAGTCGGCGTAAATGCTTGATGAATCCTCGCCTGCGAGGCGTATGGATCTGGGGGCAGATTCACGAAAGCACTTACGCAAGTACTTACGAACGTGTACATCTTTCTTCAATCTTTGACGGCTTTGGTTACATTTATTAAACAGTTTACAAGTATGAAAACTTGCCAATCAACTGTTGTTATAAACAGCCTCCTGGTGCTTCGGAGCTCATTAACTGTTTAATAATTGTAAACAAAGCCGCCAAAGATTGAGAAAAGATCTACAGGTTCGTAAGTGCTTGCGTAACTGCTTCGTGAATCTGACCCCTGAAGTCTACAGCATTCGGCGCCACAGGTGGTGTGTGGCGCGTTGGCCTCAGTGTCCTCTAAGCTCTGCTCTGACAGCTGGGTGGACAGCGCTTCGGATTCGTAATCCTGAAGTTCCGGGTTCGATCCCCGGTGGAGGCGGAGACAAATGGGCAAAATGTTTCTTTCACCCTGATGCCTTTGTTATCTGGCAGTAAATAGGTACCTGGGAGTTAGACAGCTGCTACGGGCTGCTTCCTGGGGGCGGGGGGTGTAAGAAAAAGGAGGCCTGGTCTAGGACCGGGCCGCGGGGACGCTAAGCCCCGAAATCATCTCAAGAAGCTTCCGAGGGGAAGGGGGGAACCCATCCACCATCCCTGGCTCCTCCTTACCTCTCTCCTTTCCACCCATCTCTTGACACGCCTATTTCTGAATTCATGGGTCCTTGTTTCTCCTTTGTTTCTGTAACTGGATCCCTGCATTGTACCTGAATGGGGTTCTGGGAGTTCTTCTCCCAAAGCCCGGCCCGAGGCCACGCTTGACTTGTGAGAGTTTGGTCCAACAGGCTGTTGCTTGGAGCGGCCCGCAGGCCCACAGCCCACATACCCACCATAGCCCGGTTGGTCCGGCACTTCTTGCAGAAAAGGTCCAGTTTTTCTTGAAGATGTCCACTTTCCTTCCGGTAATTTATACATGCTGGGAGGATATTGAACAACCGCGGACCTCTGGTGTTCATACAGTGCCCGCTGATTGTGCCTATTTCACCTTTACTCTTCACTGGCTGTTCTGCATTTTCTTCCATATCGTTCACTCCGGTATGTTGTTATTTACTGTGCAAATTTGGGACCTGGCCCTCCAGTATCTTCCATATATAAATGATTTGATATCTCTCTCGTCTCCGTTCGTGAGGGCACAATTGGAGAGTTCTGAGACGATTCCAAAAGTTTAGTATCGTCATCGTGTCTATGCGTGCCGTATATGTTCTCTCTTGTCCCTCTATTTCAGCGATCTCTCGTGCTCAGAAGGGGGAAGTGAGTACCGAGCAGTACTCATGTGGGACAGCACTAGGGATTTGAGTCCTTTTGTATCCGCTGCTTCTGTACCCATGAGCTCGTATCCGTAGTTGTTGTATCCTAAGTTGCTGTTTTCTAAGAGAAGTTCCGGATCAGTCTGGCTGTGGTGGGTATGTGGGCCTGCGGGCCGCTCCAAGCAACAGCCTGGTGGACCAAACTCTCACAAGTCAAACCTGGTCTCAGGCCGGGCTTGGGGAGTAGAAGAACTCCCAGAACCCCATCAACCAGGTATCAACCAGGTATGCTAGGGCCATTGTGTGTCCGTTGTTTCTGTACTTTTGAGTCCTTTCCGTGTCCCTTGCTGTATCCATGTGTCCTTGAGTGTCCGGGGTGAGATAGAGCTCTCCAACCACCACACTCGAGGCCACAGCTTGGGTACGTGGAGTTCGTTGTGCCTCTCCTGAGGTCTGCCCCACTAGAGGTCAGAGGTCATGTTCGGAGTGAAGCAGGGTGTGCGGTGACGCAATAGACTCCATCTTGGCGGTATCTTCACAGTCAACCCGTCCTCATCAACAAAGGCCAAATGCTCGTTAATACAGCCACGAAACCCCTTGTTTATGAACCCCAAAACAACGGTTTACACACTAATCACAAATTTTTATAGTCCACTCTGTAAATGCTTCACCCACGTACTACAAACACAAATAATCGCCAACTGAACCTGAACACCTAATTTAACTCGTGCCTAATAATACATTATATTTTAATGTATAATAATATTAATTTGTATACGAGAACAAAACTGTTTTTATTACACAGTGTCTTGAAGTTGGTGACTGTCTCTGAGGGAACGGCCGCTCCTCTAACAAGCCTGGCCCGGGGGGACAGTGTCTTGAAGTTGGTGACTGTCTCTGAGGGAACGGCCGCTCCTCTAACAAGCCTGGCCCGGGGGGGACAGGTTGCCACAGTACCTGTGTCCCTGCCGGACACGTCAGGTGGTTTGTGGGAATCAGTGATCCCGCGGCCCGGTCTCTGATCAGGCCTGGTTGGTGGTCTGGTCACTCAGGCTGTTCTGTGCCACTGCTCGAAGTGTGTGAATCACAGCTCAGTTGATCAGCTATGCTTTAGAGATATTTATCATGCTCCGTCTTGAACACATGGATATCTTGGCATTATAGTCGCAAGATAACATGTGCTTGATGGGGTTCTGGGAGTTGTTCTACTCCCCAAGCCCGGCTTGACTTGTGAGAGTTTGGTCCACCAGGCTGTTGCTTGGAGCGGCCCGCAGGCCGCTTCCTCAGTAAGTGCCATGAGGCATGTCATTCATAACTCGGACTGGTATCTAACAGCCTGGTGTGCCAGACGGCCAACAGGAGTCTTAGTGGGAGACCGGTCCGCAGGAACATTGATTCATGGAACCATCACTAAGTAGACACAAGGTAGGTTGGCCAATTTCTACCCTGTGTCCCACGGATAATCTACTCAAGGATCCAAGTATCTCATTGGTTGTTTGTTATAAGTTGTCAAATCTAAGAAACAACACAGGATTATCATTGGAAACTTACAAGAGGGAACTTGAAAAGTTTCAGCTGAAGTTGAATTTTCAGGAAGAAAATGCAGAATAGAACCAGTGAAGAGCAGAGGTGCCATGGGCACAATCAGAGAACACTGTATAAACATCAGAGGTCCGCGGTTGTTCAACGTCCTCCCAGCGAGCATAAGAAATATTGCCGGAACAACCGTGGACATCTTCAAGAGGAAACTAGATAGTTTCCTCCAAGGAGTGCCGGACCAACCGGGCTGTGGTGGGTATGTGGGCCTGCAGGCTGCTCCAAGCAACAGCCTGGTGGACCAAGTTATCACAAGTCAAGCCTGGCCTCGGGCCGGGCTTGGGGAGTAGAACAACTCCCAGAACCCCATCAACCAGGTAAGTTACTAGATCAGTCTGGTTTTGGGGGCTATGTAGGCCTGCGGACTACGAACACAAACAGCCTCTTTGACCAGACAATTACCTGGAAAGCCTGGCTCCAGGCCATGCTGTAATACTAGGATTTCCAGGATAACTGGAAATCCTCCACAGGTAATCCACATCTCCAAAGTGTACCTGATCAGTCAGGCAGCGACTCTTCCTTGA